CAATATTTTACAAGCAAACCATTTTCACACAAAAAAATATAGATATTTCAAAGAGGTTCCTATAGAGTAATATAGACGTTTTGGGTGCTAACACCTTCCCTTTGCATAACCAACCCCCTTACCCTCTCTCTGTTTGTTTTATTAGTTTTGTTCGTTCTTTTTCCCTTTCCTTTGGAAGTAATAAAAGCGCAATGGCGACTCTTGCTTTATGAGTTAAGTTAATCAATAAATTATACTCACAATTTTTACCACTACAATAGGTCGACACATAGAAGAAAATTTTCTTCTATAGGTCGACACATGCAGTCTATAGGTCGACACCCGCGCTGCAATATTAAAGCCTATAGGCTCTGTCTATGTGCTGACTGACATAAGTCGATACAAGGTCGACATATAAACTTCATAGGTCGATCTAAGACCTTCATACCGACACAAAGAGCTTCTTAGATTGACCTATAGCTTTCATAAGTCGACACATACGATGCATTTTTTTCACAAAATCATAATTTTCTCCATTCTTTTGCATTTCTTTTGCTTCCAAACTTGTATACTTATAAATACTTACATGCATAATTTCTAGTAATGTTCTAAACTAAAACCTACATGAAACCAAGATTTCAAAGCATACTTATCATCTTCAACTTGTCTTTTATGCATACACACAATTGGGTGACCATCTAGATTGGAGTTGATAACATCCAATTAGGTTGTGGTACCAAAATTGTTAGGTTGAGTTCTTTGAGGGTTTCAAATAAGAAAATCAACCTGGGGTTTTCCTTCAATATCATTGAGGATTTGAAGGTTTTGGACAAGATTATGCAATTTATGTTCGATCAAGTGAAAACCTTGAGACAAGGTGTGCCTTGTAAGAGAGTAGTGTGAGACGGTGGATCGTGTTGGTAAATTTTGGATTTTAACAAGTGTGCGCTTGGGATTAATTCACCTTGGTGAAAGCCTTAGGACAAGGGGTGCCTTGCAAGTAAGTAGCAATGAACAGGTGAATTGAAGCGAGATTATTGGTGACTTGATCAATCTTTGATCAAGGGTTTTGAAGGTGGTAGAATCAACAACAAACCTAGGATTTGTAGGGTTAAAGTTCTTCATCTATTTTATATACACTTTTTTGCAAAGTAAGGTTAATTGAAATTATCTCAATTCGAATTCTAATTAAGAGCAGACATACCCATAACAAGGTTGATCAGGGAACTGCCTAACCAAATCCTTGTGTGTGTGTGTGTGTCTCTCTCTCTCTCTCTCTTTTAATTTTGTGTTTGCAAATTATTAAATTCATTGTTAGTTTGATTAATTCGTTTGGGAATTATTTTTGATTACATTTTAAATTAGGGTTCGTTGATATAACCATAATTCGTTTGATTGTGATTGGTTTTTAAGATCAACAAAACAAAGTAATTTCCAAATGATATTGATTGCACACAAAGTGTTTGGTAAATTGCCTTATTGTGTTTTTTTGAATTTTGATCATTGGGAATAAGCTCTACGTGTAGCTAAGCATTCAATTTTTTGTGATTAATTATCGTTGAACAATTTGTTTTCATTATCACATGTTTGTGTACCTTTACCTATATCCGAGCTTTTCAATAGAGGTTCGGTTAGACAATTCTATTCAGGTTGTTTTCACTGTGTCATACAACTTTTGAAAACCATTTTTGTCAAAAGTTTGATTTTTAATTTGTGAGCTATTCACCCCTCTAGATTGAATCATATTGTGTAACGGTTCTAAAATGGAAGACTTGGATTTAGCCACGAGTCTCCTCTATGTGATGGATGTCGCGTATTTAGGATGGGTCCACTCTCATCAAATCTTCGTTTCTTGGAAACTATGCCAAGTTGATTAGGTCCAACCGTTTCGCTGTCAAAACTTATTCCTTTTAAGGAAACATCAATCCCTTGATTTTAGAACTCCCTATATCTCTAGGCGCATTATTGGATGAATACTTCCCTTGACCATAATTGACTATTTTTTTTTGCATTTTTCCTTTGCACCACCAACAAATCACCATAAACTGCATTTGTTTCTCAAGATTGTTTTGCTACAATTTGGATGTTATCATCACACATTTCCTGATATAGTTCAATTAATCTTTACTCATGGTCATCATCGTTTAGTGGTCCTATTGGTTGCGCCATCGTAGGAACGACTGACCGCGTCAGATATCTAGTGTTTTCTTGCAATCACTGGTGTGGTGTCTATAAAGCAACAACTGAAGCAAATAATGTGAAGACCTTCATTTTGCACGTTGTACCAATGGGCATTAACATTGACCTTTTCGACCACCGACAATATCAGATCAATCTCCAAGAAAATTCTCGCAAACCTTCCTGTCTCTATATTCATGATGTTAATGTATACCTTAACAGGAGTACCCATAAAAAATATTAAACCAAGAAGGACATTTACATCATAATACAATAAGTAAAGACCTGAAAATCTAATCCAAACCAGAGTCTTCTCCACCTTTGCAAGAGGATATGCAAAGTCTGGAGTCCATCGCACCACTGCCAACTAATGGTCGAATAACATGCACGAGCCTTATCACACAATTTTCTCCATATCTGCTAGTTGTTCGCACTCTTTCATAAAGAGACCATTGTCAATGACCATGATCTTAAACCTCTAGTTAGTTTCCACATCTTCTTCAACCTATCATTTATCAAATGATAACCCAAATTCTTCCTAAGGAGTTTAATGACCAACACCTCCTTCTAAGGATTGCACAATTCCTACAAAATCTCTCATTAATCGTGACCTTTGATACCAATCAGTTTCGTCCTTCAAGAGAGACTTTCATAAGTCCCCTTTCAGTCAGGTCCATTCCCTCCTTCACAGTAGTGACTCCTTATCCTTTAGTGAGAATATCCAGGAACAATGGTCTATGAGGCTTAAATGCATCTCCTTCTAGTGGCTTTACCGATAACGACGACGTGGAAGTGGGGAACACTAAGGGATCCATGTGAAAACTTCTCCGCTATTCAAAAGATGTTGCTATCAACGTGGCTCTGTTGCTATTAACATGGCTATGTTTCCATTCACTCTCTGATATTCAATTTTTTTGTGTGGAGATGCAAAGGATCAAACCCTATACCTCTCGCATGTAAAGGTTCATCTTGAGAGAATAAAGAATATGATGTATATGAAATGATGTAATATCCTTATTTGAATTGAAAAGTGGATTATGATAAAACTATTATGATTCCTTTACCTCTTTCCCTGCATACTAAAGTCCAATTTTATGAGTCTTTCCTCCTTGTGGAGAATACTACAAATTGAAATTCTCAATTAATTAACACTATCTTTGATCGAATTAGGGTCATTAAAATGCTTTCCATAACTCTTTTTGACTCCATTGTAATCAACAAACAAATTAAGAGCGTAAATTCTAATGAAAAGTCGTCGGTAAGAAGTTCGTATTGGTTGATTATCCACGAGCTTATTGATTCAAGTTTCCTACTCGTTATAGGTTACAAGGTAAAACAATTAATCGTTCCACGGATTGTGCTTTCATGTAATGATAGTATAGAAGACTTCCTCCATTTTTTTTCATGTGTCCTAATATCCAAAATATTCGACATGTGTGGTATAAATAGTGAACCTAATGCTACTGCTATATTTTTTTAAATATTATTTAGAAGCTACCTACCAATATCCATAGTATTTGGAAGAAAGAAACAACAAAATTTAGAATAATGTTATCCATAAACACAGAATAATTCTTCTGAGGGGAGTTTACTTTGTTTAATCTTGACAAATTGCTAAAGAGATGAAAATCATTCACTCCCACTCTATCAAGTGGAGCAAGCCATCAACATGTAGAATCAAATGTAACGTGGATGTGTTATTTTCCTATTCAAAATAGATTAGAAATTGATGTTTGTATCATAGATGAGTACAATATTTTTGCGTTTGAAAATGTTAAATATGTAATTCTTTGTATTAAATGTTCAATAGAGTAGAAGTTGAATATAATTTGTAGTTGTCGAAGGAACTAACTTCGACAGAGTTGAATTTAATATTTGTTTTATGTAACAATTGAGTTAGTTAGATTTTTTGGTGTGCAAGTAATCTCAGTTATAAATAGGATGACCCTCTTATTTGTAAAATTGCAGCAAGTGAACAATTCAGTTAGAATTGAATAAAATCATCTTCACTTTTTCCAAACCCTAATTTTCATCTTTCTCTCTCAAATTATCTTCTCTTTTCAAATCCCTATGCGGTGGAATCATCTTGCAATTAATATAAAATTGAATAACTCAAATAAAAGGAGGAGCGTTCAATCACAAAATTGATTACTTTTAGTCAAGATTGATTTAAATTATCTCTAAAATTAAGGTTTAATTCCAATAATAAAAACTAAGCTCTTATGTTGGTTGTTCGTGAATGTAGAGCCCATAGATGCTAAAACAATAAAATATAAATTTTTTTATCTTCCAAAAGTAAACTTATGAAATTTAGTGACATCATTAACAATTATATTAATTTATGAAATGCTATAATTTTTATGCCATTAAATTTATGTTCCTTTGAATTTAGAATTTTTTTTAAAATGTCTAATTTTGATTTATTTAAAATATAAAACTTTTACATTTAAGTTTCTTATTTAAATAAAATTGAACTTTTTTTAAATTTTAAATTATTTATATAATATAAAATAATATATTTCTATTGAATAACACGAATATTTCATTTTAAAATTAATTATTTTGAGTGTTAATATTATGAAAAAAAGCAATGATAAACAGACGCCATCTAATCTTAGCAAAAAGGAAAAGTAACAACCAAAACTAACGGTAAACAGTTGTATCGTAAGCCTGCAGTTAGTAGTTTTATAAACACGCGCCATAGAGCGCGTGGGTCAGATGAATAACCTGTCGAACCCGCGAGTATTATAATTTAGATTACGAGTGTTGCTTGCGACTATGATCAATAATCAAAGGCCAATCAAGGCAACACGATTGGTCAAAGGCGAGTTGAGAGCTTGGAGATGGACGCTATGGTATGGTTGACGACGACACTCGCCATAACCATCTCCCTTCTCTCAACCTTCGCAAACACCGCCCTCACCTTCGACGGCGGCGGCGACACCAAACATCAACCAACTCTATGCGAAGAACTCATTCTTCCTGCCGGTTACCCTTGCTCCGAACATGTGGTATTAATTTACTACGCTTTTCCAATAATACCCTTGCTAAGTGGCGTTTTTATTTTATTTTATTTTATTGCTTTCGTTTCAGATTCAAACAAAGGATGGTTTCTTGTTAGGGCTTCAGCGTGTGTCTTCTTCTTCTGCGAGTATTGGTTATTATGCTCCAGAATCAAGACCTCCGGTTCTGCTTCTACATGGCCTGTTCATGGTTATACTTCACTATCTCCTTTACTTTTACTATATACAATCACAATGTCATTGCAATTTAGTTTGTGTTTGGTTGTGAGTAACAAAAGTTGATTTGGAGTGAATTGATATGGTTAAAAGTAAATTGAGTTTAAAATGATTTATGTTTAGGTACATAATGAGTGTGTTTGATTATTCGGTGAAAAAAATTGATTCCGAGTGAATTGATTTGGTTGTGCATGTGTTAATTTGGCTAAAAGTGAATTGAAGATAAACTGATTTATATTTAGATTCATTAGGTTAATTATGTTTATGTTGTGTATGTTTGGTTTAACTTATAGGAGAGGCAAAAAAATTTAAAAGATGTAGAATTGATTCTGCCTCAACAATTGATTCTACTTGAAGCTAGAATTCATAGCTTTTGAGTTTAAACGTAATTTTTACATTGAAATTTACTGTTCAACTAACTTTTACATAAATTTATTCACGCATACCTTCAATTCTCTTATATCTAGAATCAATTCATTGAAAATTATTTTCTTTTCACCGCAGAACCAAATACATGCTGCATAGAATATATTAACGCAGAACCAAATACATGCTGCATACAATATATTAAAGTGAGTTGAACGATAAATTTGAGGGTAGAAATCAATTTTAGAACTAAAAGTTCAATATCCTAGCTACAAGTGTGAAACAATTTTGTAGGTTAAATCAATTCTACTTCAAAATGAATTTTACATCTCTAGAATCAATTTTAACTTGGGGGAACCAAACATAAAATAATATGTTGATAACAGAACAATATATAAATTCTTCTTTTGAAATTTCAACATTTAGTTGTCGATCTTAGCACAATAGGCTAAGATGTTTGGCCATCTTTAGGTGATATTGTTATAGATATGTTTGCACTATTTTTTTATAATATATTAATGTATAAGTATATTAAGGCTTTGATATCTTGCTATTTCAAAGTGGGAAGTTTCAAGGTTTTGTAACTAAGTTCTCTTGGTGTATGTTTGATTCTACTTTTAAAGGAGGCAAAATCGTTTCTCAAGGTGTAAAGTTGACTTTGACATGTTTGATGTTCTCAAGTAGAATTGATTTTGCCCCATAGTATTTGTTTCGTTCTGCAATGACAAAAATTGATTAGTAAAGTTGAGTCAAATGGAAAGAGATTTTTGTTTGAATACATTTGCACAAACTGAGTTAAATAATAAATTCCAGTATAAAAATAATGTTTGGACTCAAAAAGTACAAATCCTATCTTTATGTTAGAATGAATTATAGAGGCAACATCAGTTCTACTCGAGAGCAACAAAATATGTCGAATTCAATATTACACATTCAAAATCAATATTGGTGGAAAACAAAACGTGGACATAATTGACTCTAAAATCTAAATTAAAGCTAAAATTTGGGGGTTTTGTCTCTATAATTGATTTTAAACCTCAAATTAGTTGTGAAACCCACTTTGAAGTATAATCACTTATTTCAAAATTAATTTTTGTCACTATTAGTCATATTTGCAGTGTTTTGGGCAGGGTTTGAATTGGTGTTTAAAATATACTTCTGTATGCAACAATTTGCATTATATGTTGTCTTTTTTTTAGGAGAAGGAGAGTTTTTAACTCTTTTTAGTGTGAGTTGTGAATTTCCCTTTAAAGTTTTAATTGACTTAATCTCATCGTTGATATTGGTTTTTTTATGGCATTTGATACAATCAGGCAGGTGATGCTTGGTTTCTAAATACACCAGAACAATCATTGGGCTTCATCCTTGCGGATCATGGTTTTGATGTTTGGGTAGGAAATGTGCGTGGAACACGTTGGAGCCATGGCCATATATCTTTATTAGAGAAGAATAGGGTGAGTAGTTGGCTTTATCCATCATGTGATATAACTTATTGAGTGTCAGCTGTATGCAATAGTTTTTATGTTTATTTTTTCAACTAATGAAATTGAATTTTTAAAATTTTAAACCATGGGTGTTTCAGAAAATCGCAAATTGAATTTGAAATTCTATTACTTAAACTCTTACTTCTGAATTTAATAACTAAAATTTCAGTTTGATCATATAAAATCTAAGTGAGGTCACACTATGTCATCTAATAATTTCAATAAGATTACCTCTGAATGTTTTCAACAAATTTCACTTATTTTAATTAGTAGAGACAGTGTATAATTGTTTTCAGTATTGAAACTACCGATTTTCAGAACCAGTTAGATTTTCAAGCAGACTTCTAATTAGGAAGTACTGATCATGATATCAAAAAGGGAGAGCAGCATGGACAAAGAAACAATGCTTCATTCGAGAGACTGTTAATATTTCAGCAATTTTAAGAAGTTGGTTCACTATTCCAGTTTTAGTTGTATATTGTCAAGGTTCAAACATTTTTTACTTTATAAATGCCTAACTATTGCTGACGGAAGAGTTGGAGTCAGACTATGCTATACATTTTGCCATGTTTGTTATGTGACTAAAGTGATACAAGTATGACTTGGGCTTCGTCGGTCCCTCATTTTTCCAAAAGAAAAATAAAAGTGATGGGTGGTATGACTAATAGAGTCTTGGTTCTTTTGCAGCATTTTTGGGATTGGAGCTGGCAGGAATTAGCCCTTTATGATCTTGCAGAAATGATTAATTTTATTAATTCAGTGACAAACTCAAAGCTATTTGTTGTTGGGCATTCACAGGTATTTACAATTCCTGTATATCACTTTTCACCTTTTATCAGTATTTGCAATAGCATACATTTTATCAATTTCTCATCTATCTTAGGGGACGATTATATCTTTGGCTGCTTTTACTCAACCGGAGATAGTAGGAAAGGTTGAAGCAGCAGCTCTACTATCTCCAATATCATACTTGAATCATGTTAGTGCACCTATGGTACAAAGAATGGTTAAGATGCACATTGATCAGGTATTTCTTGCTGCTTTCTATTATTTTTCACAGTTAAAGTCGATATTTAATATGAAATTGATTGCTGGTTTTATTCAGATGATTGTTACAATGGGTGTTCATGAACTGAACTTCAAAAGGTTCCACTTTTTCTTCTGTCCTCTTTTTTTTTCTTTAAATTTGCATGTGTTCATCGGTGTATTTCTAGTTTAGCAAATTTTCACTGTATGTATTTTTCTTAACTCATTTTCAGTGATTGGGGAGCTGATCTTTTGGTTTCGTTATGCGATACACATCTAAGTTGCAGTGACTTGCTGTCATCCATTACAGGTTCATGTCTATGTCTGTTTAGGTCTTTGTAGAATTTCAATTGTTCTTTTAGTGCTTAACTTTCCAATCCAAATAACACTCTCCTCATAACGAGTTGTCTTTCATGTATGCTATTGCAATTACTTTGCCGGCTTTATCTGAAACATATTGTGGTGATCAAACTGATCAGATTAGGTTATATTGAATACCTAGGCATGATTCAAAGAATATCCTCTCTCATTTGGATCAATAATTTAGGAACTCTTTGGGCGCAATCTGCATGTTTCAATAATTATCTAGTGCTTCGCGCTTTACTTTCTTTTTTGGTTGCTGCTTCTACTCATGACATTAAAATTAAATTACAGGAAAGAATTGTTGCTTCAATGAGTCACGCGTGGCTTATTATCTTGAACAAGAACCTCACCCATCATCCTCCAAAAACTTGAACCACCTTTTCCAGAGTATGCTCCATATTTCATTATCTTCCATTGATTTCTTTGTGTAACAGTTTTGCTGTGACTTTCCTGACTATGCATGGCTCCCTTAGAAATCAGTATTCATGTGCTATTATGGTTCTGTCTGATGATCTCATATGTTCCACAGTGATCCGCAAAGGTACTTTCTCCAAGTATGATTATGGAAAGCTTAGAAATCTAAAAGAGTATGGCAACATCAAACCACCAAAATTTGATCTCAGCCGCATACCCAAGTCACTGCCTTTGTGGATGGCTTATGGGGGAAATGATGCTTTAGCAGATATAACTGATTTCCAGCACACACTTAAAGAACTGCCATCCACACCAGAGGTGGTTTATCTTGAAAACTATGGTCATGTTGACTTCATTTTAAGCTTGCAAGCAAAGCAAGATCTTTATGAGCCTATCATCAATTTTTTCAAGTCAATGGGGAAAGTTAGTAGTATCTAAAGCTCGTTTCTTTCCATTAAGATGAATGTAATATACAGTGGAGTTCCTCCACTTTGATCTTCTGTCTGTAAATAATATGATGATAGATCCCACATGACTGGCTTAAAATTTGTTTTAAGAATGATCAATTATACTAATTTTCAAATACCGATGCTTTGCAAATTATGAAAAGACAGACTAAACCTTCACTAACTAGTGAATCATTGCTCTAGAAGATCATCTCGTCTAGTACTCTTGAAGTCAAGTCTCCAAAACAATGGTCAATAAAGAAACATCACAAATGTTCGGATCCAAACTCTACAAAATTTGTGTTGAATATGTCTCATAGTTGGTGCCAAGTGGAGAAAGGGTGAACACACACACACAGTGTTTTTTTAAAGGAGTTGTGTGGGTCTATCGACAAACATAACTGAGAGTTACTAGATAAAAATGAAGGAGAATAATGCATGAATGATGTGTCTATGTATTTCAGAAGCAGTGATGTATAATATCCTAGTTTTTAGATCGATTAAAGAATCAATATATGTTCAAGATTCTTATGAACTTGTTCTTGAAATAGCAAGTATTCAACATGAAGATTCTAGAAGAATCCAATTTACAACATATCAATACCTTTAACAACATAATTTCTGATATGGTGAGGCTTGAGGTGAAAATTGATGATGAAAAAGAGGGCAATTAGTTTGTTATAGTTTTTACCAAATCCTTAGGACAATTTGGCGCCAACTCTTACCTATAGAAAAAACACTACCAACCTTGATGTAATTAATGTTTTACTCTTATCTCATTCTCTTGGGAGACAAAATATAGAGGAAGTAAGGTAAAGGTCAAGGTAAAGGTCTATAAGTGAAAGGGAGCCAATTTTGTGATCAGACCAAGGTAAAGCAAGTTTTGGAAAGATGTCTAAATCAAAAAGTAGAAAAACAACAACAATTTAGATGTAAACACATCTAGCATTTGGAGGAGAGATTACATGGCTTCTATAACTCTACAAATGTTGTGTTTTTCTCATCTACTCTTGACATTAAAGCTCCAATCTCTTTTTAAGCCCATAATAGTGTAAGAGTAAAGATCATTTTAATAAAAACATGACTGGATTTGGTAGAAAAAATTCAAAGAAACTACATGTGGGTATTCAAACAAGCCTCTATTATTTATGGAGACAAGGTTGATTAGAGGAAGGACAAATCGTACATTTTATTTATATCGCAAGATATAGATCTACGGGTTATGGTAGAATATGGTAACAAAGGATACTTTAAATAGAGTTGAAGTTGTATTTACTAGAAATGAAATGAATACTAAATTTAAGAAAAATTTCAAGAAACATCACAAAGCTATAAGTTATCTTTTGAATGATATTACCTTTAAGGAATTTGATAAAGTTCCCAATAAGGATACTTCAAAGTGTTTACGACTCTTATGTGTTAAACACAAGACTAAAAAACATATTAAAAAATCTAAAGCTAATGTTGTGATCATGCATCATAATTTATTCCAAATGGAGGAAGATGGAGATGTGGAATAAGTGTATTCAAGATTTCAAACTCTAGTATTTAGATTTAAAGTCCTTGAAAAAATTTATATTGCTACTTATAATATAAAAGAAGATTCTTTTAAGTATCGTTATAATATGGAGACTAAAGATTACTAACATTAAAAAGGAAAACGATCTAAACCAGATTATCCTAAAAGATCTCATAAACTCCCTCCAAAGTTATAATATTGAGATGAACAAAGACGAGTCCATGAGGAAGTCCAAGTACACTGCCCTCAATTTCAAATGAATTAAAGTAAAAATAAACACCTTTCAGTTTAAATAATCATAGGAAGCAAAACATGAGGAGTAGAGCGAAGCGTTAGACATTAATAAGATCTCACAAATTTTCAGGAAGGTTTATTGTCCGTGGGACAAGAGGGGAAAAACATCTCCTCTAGATGGAATTCAAATACTTTAAGGATTCCAAATAAAATAAAGATATATGGAGATGATGTTGGGCATATGACTCTATACACAATAGGGGTTGGGGTTGATTTATGGATGTTTGAGAAACATTAGTTGAAAACAAAATCTTGAGTAAAATCAAAGATTGAAAACATTTGTAAAGCAAACAACGAAATAGGCAACAAAATAAAGAGATATATGGAAAAACATAGGAAATAAAACAACTAAAAAGTAAAAGAGATACGGGATGGAGAAAGACACCATAGATTTATACAGGTTCATCCTAACCACTTCGCATAGCCCCGTTCTTCAGAATTCCTCTTGAGAGTTTCCACTATCTTGAGAGCTTTCAATAGAATAAGTCCACTGTCATACCCTAAAATTTATCCTTAGTTTTTACTCGCATCAGCATAGCATAAACCATTTCATCTTATCAACATTCTTTCATTCAAATGCATTCATCAAGATTTAGATAAAAAGTTAGGAGTTCTGACATCTTATTTGGTCTTGATGACATTCATTCAGTCATTTTGTTTGATTAAGAAGTCAAAAGACTTAATTTCTCAAATCTCAGTGCATCATCAATTCTATTTCATCATGTTTCAGAGGTCTAGAGGGTGACAATAAAGAGTATTATCGTCATCTGAATCTTTGTAGGGTTTGCTTGTAATGGAGAGTCTTTTAACTCTAAAAACATTGTTTCAACATCGAGACCCTTTGAGCTCCTTCACATGGATTTATTTGGACCTTCACGGACCAAAAGCCTAGGTGGGAATTATTACAGTTTGGTAATTGTAGACGATTACTCAATATTTTGTTAGATTTTTTTCTTACGTAGCAAAGATGGAATGTTCCCGACTTTTGTACGTTTTGCCAAGTTATCTCAAAATAAATTGAATTGCAAAATAGTTTCCACCCGAAGTGATCATGTGTCGCGGTGAGAAATCAGATACCATAGTTATTGAGTTAACTAGGCTCACAAATCTTAATTCATCACCGATCTTTAATTTATCCAATGGTTGTACGCTCCACAAATGGGAAGAAAAACATAATCTCTGGGGTATACACTGAATGAGTAAATGACTCGAGTCCTATCAGAAATGCGAAAGAGGATGACCTTGATCCTTGATGAGGATATGCTAAAACCCTAGTTCCACAATACATGAAAGAACCAGTTGAAACGAAATAGAAAATTCGAATCCGTGGAAACCCTAAGACCATATGAATCAAAATCCATTGGTCACACCTTGAAGTATTTAACTGTGAGAATGAATACGAACTCCACTTGAAACCCATGTTCCTGCACAAACTTGTTAGTCATAATAAGCAAACACATAAAGACTGTATGACCTAATTCTCAGAAGATCATGGCCAAAGGCCGAATGATCTTACAGAGAGAAAACTGAGAAAGGTAGGACAAATTTGGGGTATACGTGATATGCCATGCAGGCGATGCAAAAAAAAAAACAGAATCTTAGGGTCAAAATTAGGGTATGACAGATGCCTCTATTTAAGTTTCTTCTATCCGGAGATATGGAGATTGAAATCTTCTTCTCGACGTGATAAGAGAGACTTTAATACAAACATGCATAATTTTTAGCCCTAAGATGCCACAAGATGCACATGATATGACATGAAACAATATGATATGAAATGAATGCAAGATAAAGATCCTGTGAGGAATGATGTCACATGGGATAACTGTATATAGAAAACGCTGAAACATAGTTAAAGAATGGAAGACCCGAAGAGGAAAAACTTAGCAAAGTAAGATTCCACGGGGAAAAGATCCAACTCCATTGAGGAGGAAACTCAACTCCATTGGGAAGAGACTACCAACTGACAATCACAGGGTAGCCTAAACACAAGGTATATCCAAATAGAACAAAGGTTTGTATTGCCTACTACCAAGGATGTGATAGCCTAAACAACAGGTAATAGACTTGAAAGGAGAGATCACCTACTACCAAACATGGTAGCGTAAGCAAAGGTGTCTGGCCAAAAGAAAGGTGCATTACCTACTATCAAACATGATAGCCTAAGCAAAGGTAAACACAAAAGAAAAGATGACCTACTACCAAACATGGTAGCCTAAGCAAAGGTATCTGACCAAAATCCAATAGATATATTACCTACTATCAACACATGATAGCCTAAGCAAAGGTAATAGACTCGGAATAGATAGACATATTATCTACTATCAAACATATGATAGCCTAAGTAAAGGTAATAGATTAAAAAGGAGAGATCACCTACTACCAAACACGGTAACCTAAGCAAAGGTGTCTGGCCAAGAGAAAGGTGCATTACCTACTATCAAACATGATATCCTAAGCAAAGGTAAACACAAAAGGAAAGATGACCTACTACCAAACATGGTAGCCTAAGCAAAGGTATCTGACCAAAATCCAATAGACATATTACCTATTATCAACACATGATAGCCTAAGCAAAAGTAATAGACTCGGAATAGATAGACATATTACCTACTATCAAACATATGAGAGCCTAAGCAAAGGTAATATACTAGAAAAGAGAGATCACCTACTACCAAACACGGTATCCTAAGAAAAGGTGTCTGGCCAAGAGAAATATGCATTACCGACTATCAAACATGATAGCCTAAGAAAATGTAAACACAAAAGGAAAGATGACCTACTACCAAATATGGTAGCCTAAGCAAAGGTATCTAACCAACAATCAAGATGCATTACCTACCATCAAACATATGATAACTTAAGCAAAGGTAATCACTAAGAATAGATAGACATATTACCTACTATCAAACATATGATAGCCTAAGCAAAGGTAATAGACTTGAAAAGAAAGATCACCCACTACCAACTTGTGGCAGCCTAAGCAGAGGTGTCTGACTCAGAAAGAAAGATTACATACTACAAAGATGGTAGCCTAAGCAAATGTAACTGACCAAAAGTAAGCTTCCATGACCAAAATTGATTCAGCTTCTTCTTTAACTAAATGGTTAATTTAGAAAGGTTAAATAAACCTCCCCACGCCTCGGGTCATAAGCCACGAACGAGTCTCAGTTTCTTCC